CAAAACACATGTACACCGAGCGGGCATACTCCCACGATTTCAGACTGAACTCCGCTTTAGTCAAAATGGTTCAAGCTAGTTCAAGCAGTACGCCACGCCACTACTCCATGCGCCGGTCGATCAATTCCTCAAATTTTCCGTCAGTTATAAATACCACCCTGAGGTACTTGAACTTTTCCACCTGCTCCACTGCCTCTCCGTTAATCTGAAGAGACCAACGGGCAAGAGAACGAGAAAGTACTGATCCCTTCGTTTTAAATGCGCTCACTCGCATGCCGGTCACATCGCACTCGACTACGAACTTTTCCATGGAGCACTGTAGATCGATTTCAGAAAATGCCGGTAAAATAAGGTCGTCTTCAAACAGCAACCTTCTCGACTTCACATCTCCTACACCGATACCCTCATCGCCTTGGCAGCTTTTGAATATTCTATCCATGTACAACACAAACAAGATAGGGGATAGGACGCAGCCTTGGCGGAGACCAAGTGCGAACGTTGAATGGTTTCGACTTAACGCCAGTTGCTCTGACGCAGCACCTGCTATCAGAATACAGTGATTGAATGGTCCATAGTAACTGGGAGGCTCATTAAGATAATGCTTCGATAATTGAAGCATTTCCTGTGGTCTCCGTTCTTGAACAGGAGTACAACAACCCTCGTTTATCAGTCCACTGTTGTCTTCCCACGTAGCCACTGCTGTTTGGCAGACACGTGTAAGCCAGCACATGCCTTGTTCGTCTAGTGCTATCAGTTTTTCAAGACGGATTTTATGAGTTCCAGTAGCCCTACCTCTTTTCAAGCTTTTCACTGCTGGTGTAATTTCATCTACAGAAATAGTAACATCCATTCCCTGCTGCTTTATAGGCGAGTCCTCCCGCGACTGCTCGGGGTTAAGAAGTTTTTAAAAGTACTCTCATCTTCGCTGAGCAGTGTCCTTATCCTCGGTAATAGGGTGTCCAGACCTTCAAGAATTTTAGACTTCCTTTCTTTGCATCTCGAAGACGCGGAATAGTCTATCAAAAGCTTGTTTGCCTTCTAGAAATTCGACTCCAACACCCCATCAAACTGCTCGTAGGAATCTGTTTTGGATTTCGCCACTGCATTCGCTGCCGCCTTGCGCACTTCGATACAAGGCATGCGAATTGAAGGCTCTTTGTTACCAAGGCATTTCTTGAAAGCAGCCTTCTTATCGGTTGTACCTCTGATATCCACCGTGTAGTGTATTTCTGACCTCCGTGCGGTAGACCCACCCGTTTGAACCCCCAGGATTCGGCGGCAACCCTGAATAAACTGCTGTTTTAGAGTACTATTCGGTTTCCACATCAGTGGTCATCACCGGAATCTTTTCAAACCGTCATGCAATGTTGTTAGCGAATTTCGCTCTAGTGTCCACCGAAGATAATGTTTCCAATTTGATTCTCTGGTTGCTTCTGCCACCAGATCTTCGCGTGGTACTCTGTTTCTTACCGCGTAGCAACGTGCCAACAACAAGGTGGTGATCAATTGACAGCTCTGCGCCTCTCTTAATGCTAACATCGCTACAGAGCGTCATAAGTCAGACGATATGAGTATCAAAACGATCAATGACTTTTGTACACAAGTTTCCCTGTACCAGGTGTACTTATGCACGAAGAAGGTGTTCATAATGGACAGTCTGTTGCTCGCAAAACCGCAGCAACTTCATACCGTTATTGTTGAGGTCACTAGGGCCATTCTTTCCAATCACGCCGTTCCACTTTTCAGCTTTTGAACTGACATGCGCATTAAAATCTCCCATTATAATGAGGAATTCCGTAGTCGGCCCTTCGTACAGAGCACACTTCACTTCCTCCAGGAAGGAGTCATGTTCTCCTTCCTGTAAGAAAGTCAACGCTTTGGTCTGTTGAAGTTTCATTCAGAGGACTGTCACTCATAAGTACAGTAGCTTCCACTAACAGAGGTTCAGAATTCCAGAGCTTCGGCGCTTCGATGATGAGAGCAGAGTCCAACTCTGTCAAGTTACGGCCTCATCAGTCAGCTACTAATCTTTCTCTCTGAGTGAGGATATATCATAATTTCTGACTGTAAGCCCTCACCGTCGGTGTCGTTTTCATGAAGCCTTTTCTGACGTGCTATAATAACATCGTGCTGTCTGCCTTTCCTCCGTTCAGAACCAGTAATGTCTTCGTTCCTTATTGGTTACTTCGTCTTCGGTTTTTCGATATTCGACAGCCGTTGTTGTGCAGTTACGTCCTCGGTTGCCAGCAGGCGATGAACTGGTTCTGAACACTGATTCTTGGCAGCCTGAGTCAATCCCCCAACAATCTTTGCTGCCCTTGGTAATTCGGGCGACAACCGAGCAGCATAGCCTTTTATGGCGGCAATACTACGAGGGGCAAGTAGCTAAGTTTTACGGGAGACTTCATCATGGTCTCAAACCTTTCTCCTTGATCATCCGGGCTTGGGAGTAGCAATGGCAGAGTTAGTGCCCTACTGTGGGCTCGAATCAGTGGCCAAGAGATTAAGAATCTCATGCTTGGTCCAGATTGTGCGAGGAGTATGAGCACAGTGATATAGTTTTTGCATTAGATCTTGTTTAACAGTGAAGATCATTGGCTGTGCAAGTATAAATCGAACTGGTTCGCCTCCATTTTTTTCTACGGAGACAAATGTCGTTCCATTGTGTATCTATTATTGGGCGTGTGACTTGGTTTACAAATGTTTTCAGATGCGTAAAACCTTTATCATTTGACGTCGAAAGCTTTAGCAGTACCTTAAATCGTTTCTCTGATAGTGAACGGTTTATTATCGTCGGAGACCCGTGAAAGCTAAATTTTCGTGACCGCCTTTGTTTGAGGGCTCGCCTTTTTGGAAGAAAAGCTGTTGAAGTCTAGGAACAATGCCTAAAAGTCGGCTTCAAATTTTGGATGTGCCGTTTTCATTTTCGGCGGAGGTCTTTCTTTGTCTTAACCATGAATTTTCTTGACCAAGGAATTTATCTACCTTTACAGAAAAGCAGTAGAGCTTAGCCGATGGATCATCGGACCCAGAACCGAGTGGTTCTGGTTTCGAGTCCCGGTCGGAGTCACTCACTTTTCTTCCTTCCAAGGTTGACAAATGAGTACCACTCCATGAGAAAGAGACAGGAGACTATACAGTATGCTTGCGGCATGGCTGTTGTCGACTCCGCCTCTGAGATGAGGCACTCCTGGCTGATGACAGATAAATATTGATCAACGCCCCACCATTAAACTCTAGAGAAGAGACGTGTCCGAATTAGCCACTCCATGAAAGTTCGATGAAGGCCGACGTTCCGACACCTACACCCTATGTTTTTCCTTCTTTTTTCCTATCAACGCTGATCTGGGAAAGCTATATTTTTGTAACCTCCTTTGCCCAAGACATCGCCGTTTTCACACCAAGCTGTTGACTGGGTTTCAGAGAGAAACTTGTGGAAAGTCAGAAATCATGACAATCAAGAAGGGTGTTGCTGATCCTCTAATTGAACGGTAGTGCACCAAAGGCGAAGGTTGAAATGTTAAAATATCTTTTTGATTGGTTGCCAGTGTTTCGGTTACACAACGATGGCTTTCATTAAGGCAAAATGTTCAAACGAAATATTACAGTAATGAGAAGGAATCTAGGTAGCTTCAATAAGTGGACACCGTAGTCCCTTGCTTCTAATGATGTCAAACGAGGCTATTCAACCATTGCACAGCTTGTCATCATTATATAAGCAATGTGTGTATTGATTCTTCGATTGCTCACTTGTTTTTATCTCTTTCGAAATCAACAGCTGACGGATTTGAAAGCAGGAGTTATTGGTTTTAGCTGAGTGAAAAATTTTTCATTTTCGTTACAGAGGCACCTAACATTGTCTATTTTTTCTTTTCAGCTAAATGAAGAAATATAGCGAATCGTAGATGTATGAAAAATTTTTATAACAGTTCTAGCTAACAGTATGTTAATAAACCCAAAAGATCGGCATTGTTTTTGTGTTTGAAGAATTTTATCAATTCCGTTTTAAAGTTGCAAACAGACGTTCCAGTTCTTGCGTCCCTGCCATTTCACATTTGTTCTTGGTATGCAACTGCATATATGTAATCCGATAAGATCACTGGTTGTTAGCGATAAAACACGTCGGTAAAAACATATATTGACATCGTTATTCGTTCACTTTATTTTTAACTAGGTTCGAACTAAGAGTCAGCAAGTAGGATGTTCATTTCTCAGCTAAGACCGTACTGTTTTGAACACAGATATTTCCCATAAAGCAAACTCCATCATCTGCAATCATCATAATCGATAACAGAAATGACTATATAATAGAAGGGAATTGTGTACAACAGCGAACTAATGGTTTAATGCGCAGTCCTCAGTCCTAATAAGACAGCAGTGAGAAAGTGCTACCTCGAAATCGTGACAAGAGGAGTTACAATAAAGGAATGCTTACAGTTCACTTAAGGCAGACGTACTTGAGGAAAGTATATAACCTGTAACAAACCCGGAGATGATTGAAAATTACGTTTTAAACTGTGCGAGAAAAAAAGCATGAAGAATTTACGTCGAAAGACGACGTTGTTTTACACTGATCCATAACACGAATTTGTTATTAACCGCTAGTCGCCGCGAACTCCTCGTTGCAGCGATCTACGGCTTTAAGAAGGTCATTCGGTTTCAAACATACTCGAATGGAGAAACAGGCCTGCAATGGAAATACGGCCAGCGTGGCTAGGTTTGGCGGTACTTGACCTTAATCAACCTAGGCCGGCGGCTACAGAGAAAAACTGCCGCCGTGAGTGTGACTTGAGTGGAAAGCGTGATGACATGGGCGTCGTCGCTTCGCCGGGGTCACTAGTCGTAGTTGAACGACATGACATGTCATGTCGAGATGGCAAGCGGACGACTGTCGAAACCAGCAGCAACGTCGAACTTCGCAGTCGGCAGTTCTAACGCCTGCAGCAAGAGCGATCGTCGTCAAACCTCACCCTTATTCAACATGCAAGCTTTGCACGACGGCGGCGATAGCTTATTGAAGCGACGAATGATGTCAATCAAATTCAACTTTTTCATTCCAGTCGTTGCACGCATAGCCAGTTTCTATTAGACGACGGCTACCAAAATGCGGGTACGTCACACAGGAGGCAGTGTGCGTGAGTGCCGTTCCGTTGGTCGGAAGTAATTTAGGTTGAAGCGTAAAACAGGAAGCAAACTCGTGTGACCATGAGACGGCCACCCTTGTCCGACTCACGCCAATGTCCGTAGGAGGCCTCGCGATTCAGACACGGCACAGTTAGGCTTTAATGAGCCAAATACCTCCATGCTGCAGTTACCGCGATCCTTCGCCGAAAACCTTGTCGTTGCGCATATCCGGATGCCCGAATAACCTCATCTCGCCCGTCCGACATGCAGGCGAGTGCGCCGTCGACCGACGCCCTGTGGCGTAATTGTTTCAGTTGAAAACGAAACGACGGTGCTGCGGCAGTGGCAAAGTTTTTCGATGAGAAAGCACTGATGATGACGTATGCACACAGCGTCACTGTGTGTAAGTCTCGAACGACAGCTGTTTTGACTGCTCACCAAGCACTGACCATCTCATGAACTGCTTTCATTCAAGAAAGAGGGAAAGAGAAAAGCATGAATATGCGTACCCACCGACTTGATGCAAGATGCATGCCAGCTACGCGTCGCGAGCGTGACTTCACATTAGGATATCGTCGTCCTAATTAGAACTGAGGGGTGGACAGTAAAACGATATTTCGAGGTTATTAACTGCAGAGCCACCTATAATGACCACCACCATAACTGCCATGTGCATGTTTGTAACTCATCGTACGTTTGCCTACGTTTCAACACGAGTAATGGCGTCGCTCTAACACTATCGCTGAAAATCGCAGGTCGTGCTATGTACGACCTTAAGAATACAGTCTTTTAAGACGTCGCCGATACGCTTCAGGTTACGAATGATGTCGGCCTGAGGTACCTCATCTGCGTATCGACCGTTGTGCGTTGGGTTTCATTTAGCTAAATACTTTGAGGTGTTGCTCAAGACGAAATTGTGGCCGAAAAGAAACTGCAGTTCCCAACGAGTCATGGTGGATTAGTCCGAATTTGCGAGCATCGTCTATACTTACAGTAAATTATGAGAGGCTTCGGTAAAGGTCAAGACGTAAGCCATCGCTGAAATGCCAAAACAGAAGTGTAACGCGTACTCAGCGAAATCCGTGGGTGTCAGGGCAGGTAGGGAATCCATGAGCACATAATGACTGAATTGGTAGTTACTGACGCCAGGTATTCTGCTGCAAGCCACATTATCGTTTAGATAAGAATGCCAGCTTGAATCCACGCTTTGATTCCGTATAGAGGACTTGTGTCAAAGTTCATCCAGAATAACTGATGCTTCATTACTTTAAGAAAAGTAACTTTTCGGGCAGCTATCCATTAGGTAAGTCAGCTGACTACTTATTTCGACGCTGCTCAATAAATTCGAGCACTTGATGTCCAGAAGCTGCTTGGGCATTTCATATGAAAGAAACCTGCAGTACTATGGTGTGTTTCTCCAATAGGGTACATTCTCAATATCCATCTTCATCTTCCATCGCCGCTTCTCCTTTCGGGTCGCGGAGGCAGACGCGTCAGTCAGAGTTTCCAACGTTTCCGATCCTGTGCCAGAGTCTGAGTTTCGGCACAAAACAACCGGAGCTGGAACAAACACTTTCCATACATTTGCACTAAGTTAATCTTTGCCGTCCCCTGGGCCTTTTGCCGGTCGGATTTGTAAGGAACAGTTGCTTAGCCTTCCTTT